GAGGTGTCTTTTATAGCTTGATATACTACTCAGCATTAGAAGAATTTTTAAAATTTTTAAAAAACCAAAATCTAATTATTAGATAGACCACAGATACTTCCAAAAATTATCTGTATTGTAGTTTCTTCTCACAGATACAATAAATATTTCTGTGAGTAAAGCAAAACCACACAGTTGCTCTATGAGGTGTTTCCAACAATGTGAGCCTACAGGCAAAGCCCCATCGGGATAGACCTCAAAAAATTATGGTTTATTACACCATTGTAATGTATTTTTAAAAAAATTTTGATCTCTTCTTATGCTTTAAATATATTTTTCAAAAATTTTAGAGTTGCAGTTTAGCACATTCTTAATACAGGCAAAATCAGACTTGCTTTTGACTCATAAATTCTGCAATTCAAATAAATATAGTAATTGATAAGAACTGAAAAAATTACAATATGAACTTTACGAGGCAGACTATAAATATGGAACTAATAGGGAAAGGATGTTAACAGAAGGAGTTTATTCATTGTTTAATAAATTACAAAAGTAAAAATAAATCAATATGCTATTGCTACTTAGCTTGGAGGGAGCTCTGGTGGCCTAGTGGGTAAGGAGCTGCGTGGCCAAGCCCAAGGCAGGCAGTTTAGTTCCACCAGCTGCTCCTTGGGAGAAAGACGGGCAGATCTCCTAGGAGATTTAGTCTCTGAAAACTTGCTGGAGGCTTAACTATGAGTTGGTGAAACAGGATGCCAATGAGTTACTTACTTAGCTTGGAATAATGTTAAATCTGTGAGCTACTTATTAATAAATAAGACAACGGTAACAATTTCTGCAGTACATATGTGCATCCTGAACTCTGATCACCTCGCCCTTTACAAGGAGTTGACATGCCATCAAGTCAGAACATTACTGGAGAAGACTGCCCATTTTTCTCTCATGGAGCAGCTAGTGGATCTGAACTGTCTTTGGACTGGCAGCATTAACTCCTTATCACCAGGTTAACAAAGCTCTCTACTGGAATGAGTAAGAATCAATAATGAGAAATACAACTGTTACTCTAATAGGACATTGTGGGAACTGTACATTCTGCTAAACTCTAACACATTTCTAGTCTCCACAGTTTGCTTATTCTGTAAGAATGAGTGAATAGTTAGTTATCTGTACTATGTTGGTCCTCGGGTCCTCTGGCAATTCCTTAGATAAGGAAAGGAGAAACACTGGCACCACTCCTTTACGGGTCCACAGGGGGCATCACACATGTTGGGATCAAGCGTGAGCAGAGGACTCGAGAGTCTTCTCTTTAGGGAACTGCTTCTCTGGAATGACTTCTTTGATAATCTCTTGTAACTCTTCCACGGTATTCCAACACAAAGGCGAGGTGGACATACCCCTTCATTTGGCCAGGCCCCTCCGTAAACACAGTCCAGTGTAGCAGGGACAGTGCTGGCTCCTGATTCACTGTGGCATGGAGTCGCTGATGGCTGGCTGGACAGACAGTTACTGAGGCTATTCTGGGGGCGTGTGCTGAGGGCCTCACTCTCATGCAGTCAATCTGTGAAGCAGCCCAGATCACATGGAGAATTCTTGAAGGTGCTCAAATCCACAGTACAGCTAAGGTCCCAGCAGACAGACAGCAAGTTCCATATAAAGCTACAGTATTTAAGCTGCACAAACTCAGTTCCGATGGATCCACCACTGAGGTCCGGGAACATCAGCTGCTGCGTTTCCCCAAGGAGCTTTGCCAAACCCCCAGACAGGGAGGGCTCACACACCATCACCAGTTTCCTCTTTGACTGAGAGGCAGATTGTACTGAACATTGGAGAGTTACCTGACTGCCACCGGAGGAAGCATGTCATGTGATTTGGGGTTGTGACCACCGATGTGAACTAAAACATGTCCATAAAGGTCTCCCAGCCTCATGTGGCGACACGTTTCTAGTAAACAGGCCTGTGTCTGGGATGTATCCACACTCAAAGTGTTTTTTCTCCTGGCTAATGACATGTCCTAGGGGATAATAAGTGCTGGGAAGAGCAGAAAGAACAGTTTCCGTTTTCAAACATTCTTTCTTTGTACTGACTCAGCTTCATCTCCAGAACTAAGCACCCTGAGAAACTGGGAAGTAGAGGCACAATTATCCTGTTATGTTATTACATGTTGTTATGTGCTGTCGAGTCATAAGGGACTCATAGCGACTCTATGAAAGAAAGTTCTAAACACTTGTGTGACTTTCATGCTCTCTCCAGATTCATGAGTTTCCGAAGGCAAGCTATTAAGAAGAAGTGGATGCCACTCCTGCATCCAAGATTGTTTTAATCGCGGAGCTCCACCAAACACTGTCTGCCACGGGTAACCATTATTGCATCTGATACATTAATGTCACAGTGTTCAGCTTTGCAGCAAACACGTTACCACTGTAACGGCAAGTGGACACACCAGGGCTATACAATTCATAGAGATGCTACATTCAACAGCTCTGAATCCTGCTCTATCTTGTGCCAACCTCATCGTCTCTAAAGCACTTACCCCCTTTTCCCCAGTCACGGAATTAATCCATCTCATCAAAGATCTTCCTCTCTTTCTCTGTCCCACTATCTTTCCAAGTATGATGTTCCTCTCTAAGGACTTGTCCCTCCTTGCAACATGCCCAAAGTATGTCAGATGGAGCCTAAAAATCCTTGCCTCCCAGGAGTAGCCTGGTTCCACCCTCTCCAGGATGAACCTGTTTGTTTTCCTAGCAGTCCATGCTATGTTCAATACTCTTCTCCAACACCACAATGGAAAGGTATCAATTTTCCTTCTATCATTCTTAGTCATTATCCAGTTTTCTGATGTATAGCAAGTAATTGTGAAGACCATGGTCTAGATCAGGTGCACTTCAGTCTCTAGATTGTCCTAGGTTCTCTGGTGACAGGAGACTTTCCAAAAGTAATTTGTCTTTTGATTTCCTGGATGCTGGTTGCAAGAGTGTTGATTGTGGAGCCAAGCAAACTGAAGCTGTTAACAATTTCAATCTCTTCACTATCATGATGCTGCCAACTGGCCCAGTGATGACCATCTTTGATTTTTTGATGTTGAGCTTCAATCAATATTGAAAGGTGCAGTCCTTGACCTCCATCAAATGTCTCTGGTCCCTCTCAGTTTCAGTAAGCAAGGTTGTGTTATCTACATACTGTAGGTTGTTGATGAGTCTCCTTCTAATCCTGATGCCAAATCTCCTCATCACTAATGCCCTAGAAAGCTATTACCTAGGTGGAGCCCTGGGTAACAGCCCTTTTGTTGATCACTGACAAAGGCTTCCTCCTCACAGGGGGCTTCTGTTCTTTACCAAGGGCGCAGCAGGCTGGGTGAGGAGCCTGCCCTTCTCTGTCATGTGGATTAAAAGTGCTCTCTCAGGTAAGACACTTTTTCTAAAAAGGATTTTCATTCAGTCACTTGTATATGCTTCATTTTATAACAATAATCACAACTGTCTAATTCCATTATTTCCAACGGCCTCAGATACCCATGGGTATATGACTCACCACCAGAACCATACAATGCCAATTCCCTTTTGCCCTCTCCCTTTCCCTCCACCTCACTCCTTCATTTGCTAATCTCTGCTGCCTCTCATTTTCCACCCATTCCTGCATGTCAACCCTCTGCAACTGTTTCTATCTGTGGATAAACCTTGCCTTATACGTTCCTTCCTCTCCCCATCCTCCTTCTCCTTGTCGTCCGTTCAATCAGACATGCAGTCCTGTTCCAGACTGTTAATTGCAATATGTATATTGTCCAATTATCCATTCATTTCAAGTTGATCTTTCCGTCCTCTAATCCAGTCCAGTATTCACTGTCTACTCATTCTCTTCAGGCAGGTCATTTTCAAGGGAGAACACACTTGGCAGAAGCCAAGTATCTGGAAATGAATCCCTTAGACCTACCCAAGCTGGCCAATGTCTGGAAGCCTCTGCTCAACCTGCTGGTGGTGTCCCAGATGGAAGGTCACTGAACTAGACAGAACCCAGGGAGCAGGGTCACTGGGTCAAGGTTGCTTCATCACCTTGGAGAATGATTTCAAGTGTTTTTGATGTTCATTTTCCAGTTTGCACAGATATTCGACTGTATTTACTTAAAATATCAATGTCAGTTTGAAAAGAAACCTGCTGTGTGGCACGTGGCGTCTTACTAATTTAAATCCTTGTTGTCTCCACGATGAAATTCCGCTCACAACATGTCCCCCAGTTCTGAAAGAGGTATGATTTGCTTGCCAAAAGAGTCTTGATGAATGTCAAAGGTATAACCTTACTTCTGCTAATTCTTTTTAAGTCAGATGAAATACTAATATCAGATGAACTCATCAGTTGCCCTGTAATTTTAGTACCTCACTCCCTCTGCCCCCCAGCCAGGAGAAGCCACTCTGACCAGCTGAACGACACACTTCCCCATGTACAGGTTTTAACAGACTGGAATCTCAGGCACGTGTAGCACTCATTTACCAACATTTCACCTGGCTTCCAGAAACGCCTGGTGGCAGCAGAACGGTGCACGCATGCTATAATGGAGGAGGACTGCTCTGGAGGCAGAGACTGGAGTCCTCACTCTGCCATTTATCAATTGTTCAGTGAGCATTAGAAAATCAGCCAACCTCTCATCTGTAAAACAGGGATGTGAAAATCCATCTGTCTGCAGTAAAATTTAAGTCCAACCTCTAGCATGAGACTAGAACACGACAAGCAAACCCCTCAGGCTATCAACTAGGTTCCAACTCACAGCAACCCTCCAGCAGGGTCTGAGGCTGTAAATCTTCACAGGAGAAGACCGCCACCTTTCTTCCTTGGAATGGTTGGTGGATTTGAACCACCAACCTTTCAGTTAACAGCTCAACAGTACTCCTTGAAGTCTTTGCTCATTCGCACATGTGGTCATGGCAGGTGGAAGGTCATTAGAACTCCGAAAGCAGGGCCACCAGAGCTCCCTAGAACATGATAGTTAAGTTATAAAAGAAAAGCGATGGTTTTCATAACCAAGAACTTACCAGAACCATATCCAGGTATTGGCCCTTTGGTTTGAAGGTCTGGGAGCCCCACATTCAGAGCGTTGGGTACCATGTTGTCCAGATGTGGCTTGGGCCCAACGGGATGAGATGGTGAATGCTTCATGCTAGGCTGCCTCTGCTGCTGCTGCTGCTGCTGCTGCTGGAGGGCGCTCACCATTCGCGCAAGCTGTGGGGCGAGGGGCCGGTTCAGGAGGATGCCCAGGGAGACAGCCAGGGGAAAACACAACACCGATGAGCCTGTCAGATCCTGAACACCACAGGCAAAGGCTGCATGCATGTCTGCTAGCACTGAGGTTAAACTGAGACACACTGAAGGTTCAACCAAGCCACCCAGAGGGATCCTCTATTTCCATGTCATGAATGGACTGACTCCTGGCAACCCCAGTATGTGTGAGCAGAACTGAGCTCCACAGAGTTTCCAACGGCTGCAATGTTAGGGAACAAGATCACTATTCCTTTCTTCTATAGTGCTGGTGGTGGACCTGAACTGCTAACCTTCTGGCTAGCTGTTGTTGCCATGTATTGTTGAGTCAGAACTCACTCCTAGTTGACCCTCTAGAAGGTCTTCGGAGGGAGCGCATCACTCCGAAACCGACCCATCTTCCTCCTGCAGAGCAGTTGGTGGATTCAAACCGTGTGCCTTTTGAAAGGCTGGCAGACATCTTACCACCAAGCCACCAGAGCTCTGGTTAGTAGCTGAGCGCAAACTGCTTACAGCAGCCCCACACCTGCCACTGACGAGAAGGCACGTACCTGCTGCTCTTGCTGCTGCCGCACAGCTTGAGAAATCTTTCTCTGGTTCTGCAACAACTGCTGCTGTTGCTGCTGTTGCAAGAGAAGCTGACATGCCTACAAAACACGAGAGGAGACCAGGGCTCCTAAGCCTGACGTCCAGGTGGGCCGGCCCACCAATCTTATTGCTGACAGGTGCTGTGGAGTGACAACGGAATCGCACCATGGCATTTTCTGGGCTATCATCTTTACGGAAGTAAATCACACCAGGCCTTTCTCCTGAGGAGATCCTGGGTGGGTTCAGACTACCAACCTTTTGGTTACCAGTTGAGTGCCTAATTACTGCCCCACCAGGGTTCTTCTCTATCAAAAGTTTATACCTTCTTGCTTGTACAAAAGTAGGAACTGGTAACCAATAACCATAAAAACAGGCACAGATAAATCAACATTAAAGCAAGAGAAATCCACAAATCACTTTTAATCCACAGGAGGAAAATCTGTCACTTACCAATTGAAACTGGGGAATCTGTGGAAGCTGGCTCAGCATGGCAATTTGTTGAGGAGATAACTGGAGCCCCACGTTGAAAAGACCTGGACTCAGGCCACTGTTGGGAAACTGCTTGAGCATTGAGGCAGAAACCTAGACACATACACACAAAGATCAATGTTAACAACAAACCAGCGAATTTCCCTGTGAAAAGAATCTGACTCAATCTCAAGCCAGTGCTGTCAACTTTCTCCTGAAAAATACTGATGCACACTATTACACCCTTGAGGGAAAGCATCCCAAATTATTAACCATGATCATCTCTCAGGAGTGAGACTGGGGAACTCATTGCACTCTCCTTTAGACTTGCCACTTTCCCCACCATTAGAATGGCCAATTATATAATCAAAACATGTGAGCGAAAACAACTTTCTGGTGAAAGGATAGCTTTTGTCTATCTGAGGAATTATCAGTGAGAGGGAGTTAGAAAACAAAATACAGGGAACTGGATAAAGCTGATGCTTAAAAGAAACTACTGAAAATAATGAAGATAAAAATAAATTAAGTTGTAAATCAGCACACTGAAGTTTCAAGTACCGACTTCTATTGAATACAATCTCAGAGAGCCTGAAGGCAGGAGTCCGCTTCAGCTTACTGTCCCTTCACGCCCTGGTGTCAGGATGAAGCTGGGTGAGGCTGTGGGAATCGGCTCTCATGAGGCGAGCAGGCGCTCCCATTCTCTGAACTGTTCATTAGTAATTTTTTTTTTTAGCGGAAATGAGACCTCCCCTGTCCTTTCACCCACTGGATTCCCCTTGGGGCGCTGGAGATGGATTAACTCCCTTCTCAGTGCACTGCAAACAAGACATGGTTTAAGAGGTTTGCTCTAGAGTCAGACTGCCTGGGTTTATATCCCAGCCAGCTCTGCTGTTTCTAAGCTCTGTAACCTGGGGCAAGCTATTTAATCTTCCCCAGTCTCAATGTTCCCATGTTAAAATTAGAATAATATTAACTTCAGAAGGCTGACTGAGGATTTTACACTAAATGCTTAGAAATGCACCCAATAAACCATTATTATTCCACAGGATGGCGCTTCAAATGTCTGCAGATGAAGGCTGCAGTTCCCTTGCATCGCATCTTCAGGCTATGCACGACCGCTCTCTCTCTTATCTCATTCACATTCCTGACATAAAGCTCAGAACAGAGTAGCCCAAGGCCCTGGACTATGACTACTTTTCTGGTTAAAGTAACTTTCCACCCCGCTTTCTTTGTTACTGTGAACCATCGAGCTGAATCCAACTGGCACATGAGGAGACTGTCCCTCCTCCTCCAATGAAACATCTGGTGGATTTGAACTGTGTACCTTCGTGATTGCAGCACAGCTTCTTGCCTTTAGGCCACTAAAGCTCCCTAAAAGTCATGTTTTTATTAACAATGACTAAGACCTGTTTCTCTGGTGATCAATCACATTCCAGCTCCTAATGTATGTACTTAACACACTATCAAATAAAATCCGTAATACTAAGATTTTCTTCCCTATGGAATATTTCAGCAGCTGATCTAAAAAAAAAATTCATAATTTATCAAAGTTTAAGATTTTGCCTTTGTTTTTGGTAACACATAGCAGATGCTCAAGAAATACTTCCTAAGTAGATGGCTCTATAATATTTCAATTTATTAAACAGTTAGCTCATCATGAATGTCTATGATCCTATTATTTCCTCGATGAGATGGACTGATTCAGTGACTGGGGTAATAGGGGTAGATTGGCAATGAGATTGGCACAAGATAGTGCAGGGTTTAGGGCTGCTGAACACAGGGTTACTGTGAGTCGCAGATGACTCGAAAGTACATAACAACAGCAACAACAACAACAGTCCATTTACTATCCGCTTGTATTCCCTCATCTGGACATCAGTGGAATACTGACCTTGACATAACCAAGAATAATCTAGTAGTAGGCCAATGAAAATCTCCTTATAAACTCAAGAGTCAATAATTAACTAATTTATTCAATTATCTTAGCATTTAGCCTTTATTATCCTCTTATTCCAAACAATGATGCAGATTATTAAATGGTCTATTGCAATTAAGCTACAGTTCTTACCTAACTGACTCAATGGCACCTAACGACGACGAAGATAATATTTCTAACAATCAATGAAAGAAACAAGTCAAGGTGAAACATGTCACAAACTGTGAATACTGACTGCTGTTGTAGGTGCTCAAAAGTTATCAAATGTAGAATCTTGCCTAAAATTGGCATCAGCATCATTAGTTTTGGGAAAATTTCATTCTATCTCCTTTCAAAATGTCTCTGAATTTCTGCCATTTTCTTCTCACATTTTTGGTGGGACAAACACTTCTTTCTCATTTATGACTGGCGACGACTCTACATGACAATTAGGCCACAGGAGTGGTTCCTTTCCCAGTCCCCAGCCTACACAGAACACAACTCCAGGGCTCCTTAAAATTGGCTTCATTTTTGCAAGTTCCAGCTTTTTTTCCTGTTAAAATCCCACGACTCAACTCTAATCTTAGTGTCATTCTCATTGCTTTTGTACCCCTTCTTGCTAGGTTTTTTAAAAAGTATTTTTTTCTCTAAAGAAATATGCTTTCTTAACCAAGATCTTCAGGAAGCATCTCTCTAGGTCATCACAGCCAAACCCAACCCAAACCCATTACCATCAAGTCAATTCTGAGTCAGGTGACCCGAGAGGACAGAGCTTGTCCTAACTGCCCAGTTGGGCTTCAAGGGCATAAACCCTTATGGACGTGGAACGTCACACGACACTCCCCCAGCGTGGCCAGTGGGTGTGAACTGCATGTCTTCAGGGTGCAGCCGAGCCACCGTGTCACCACAGCTCCCGTGCTGAGGTGCTAACGCTTCTAATTCTTCAGTTTCTCATTTCTGAGGCAGTGTTGTGGTTCATTCTCAAGAGCATGTCTAGCTTTTTCTGTGATTATGTTCCTATCTAGAAACATCTAAGTTCAGATTCCCTATAGGTGGACTCACAGTTGATTTTCTTTGAAGATTCTGGATACTTTCACACCATCGATCATTTCTAACACTGTTAGGAAGTGTTTTGGTTTAATGTGATACCTCGTCCAACTGCTTCCTCTCTACCCAGGAAGAGGTGCTCCTTATTACCAACAAGTATAACATCAAGTGTGTGAGAACGTGAAAGTCTGCCCCCTAGCACTTCTGTAGAGGGGGAGAACGCCCCTCTGTGTGCTTTGCCTCTGCCCCAGCTTTATGGCTACCATGAAGGACATCCCTCTACAACTTCCTTCAACACGACTCCTCTTCACCTCTCTTTCTGTTTCAGCCACAAAATCACCAGTGTGAATTAACTCAGTGTCTCCTAAGTAGTTAATATTCTATCCCCATTGTAATAAAGGCTTGGGGAAGGATATATCCCATGTTTGTAACAGCATACTCTTAGCCAGTCTTTTCAAATTACAACTCAATGGCTCATAAAACTGTACCAGTAACATATGAATCTTAACTTACTTGATTTTGTAACTGTACTAGGTTGATGCACATCCCTACAAAATTCATGGCACCCATCTAGAACCTCAGAATAGGACCAGGTACAACCAAACTGAGATCACAGTGCATTGGCAGGGGGCCTAATCCAACAACTGGTGTCCATTCTTTTAAGAATGGACATTTTGGACACAGTACAGAGAAAGCTATGTATAGGGAGGCAGAGATGAGAGCAATGTGTCCACAAGCCAAAGGGCACCAAGGATTGTCAGCAGACACTAGAAGCCAGGAGACTGGCATAGAAGAGATTCTCTCCCACAGCCTGTAGGAGCAGTCCAGCCAATACAATTGTGCCCATACAGGAGCCACACATAAACCATGATGCAGTTGCTGAACAGAATAAGACTCTGAGTGATTTCAAGTCATCAAAAGGGGGTAGATCAGGGTAGTAGCTTCTCACTATACTTATTCATTCTGTACTGGGCAAATAATCTGAGAAGCTGGACTATAAGAAGAATACAGCAACAGGATTTGAGACTCATCAATGATCTGTAGATTTATAGAGCCCACAGCCTTCCTTGACAAAAGAAGTTTTAGCATTTACTGACGATGAACAAAGACTACAGCTTTTAGTACAAGTGTTGCTGTTGTTAGGTGCTGTCGAGCGACTCTGATTAAGAAATCTGAATTCTGCCCTATCCCGTGCCATCTTCATGGTCTCTGCCAGGTGTGAGCCCATTGTTCACAATCACTGTCAATTCATTTCCTTGAGTTTGCTCTTTTGTGCCGACCCTCTACCCTTCCCAGCAGGATGCCTTTTTCCAAGGACTAGTCCCTCGTGATGGCATGTACAAAGCCTGTGACACAAAGTTTCACTATGCTTGCCTCTAAGGGGCACCCTGGTTACATTATACCCATCAGTATAAACTGTTGTTGTTTAACATTGAGTCGGAACATGACTCTCTGGTGGGTGTTCAGAGGCAGTTAATCTCATGGGAGGAGAATGCCTACCCTTCTCCCAGCCAGTAACTCAGTAGGAATTGTTGTTGCTATGTGCAAATCATCGCAGTCCTATGTACAAGAGCTCAGAATCCTGCTCTATCCCGAGTCAACCTCACCGTCTCTGACACCTCTACCCTCATTACCTCAGTTACTGTGTCAGTCCAACTCATTCATGATCTTCCTCTCCTACATGGTCCCTTGACCCTGCCATCTTGATAGACTGTTCCCTCCTGGCTACATGCCCAAAGTATGTGAGATGGACTCTCAAAATTCTTGCCTCCAAAGAGCAGCCTGGTTTAACCCTCTCCAGGAAAGACCTGTTAGTTCTCTTAACAGTCCATGGTATGTTTAAAACTCAAAAAGCCAAAAATCCTTACAATCGGATCATTAAGCAATCATGACAAACAGAAAATGAAAATTGCCAGCAGTTTCATTTTACTAGGATTCACAATCAATACACATGGAAGGAGAAGTAAAAAAATCGAGATGGATTGCATCAGGCAAATACGATGCAAAAGACTTCTTTAAAGAGCCAAAAAATTGAAGATGTCACAGTAAGGACAAAGGTGTGCCCGGCAAGAGCAAGCCATTTCAACTTCATAGGCAGAGAAGACCCAGACAATAAATAATGAAGAAATGACGCATCTGAATGATGGTGTGT